GCCCACAGGTGTTTATTGCAAAAATTTGACCAAGGTTTCAAATGGGTGGCCCCAGTTGAAACTAAATGATGACAACTACAAGCAAGTGGTAGAAAAGGGCATCAATGTAAAGCTCCTGACTCCAACAGTATGATTTTTTCACTACTACACACACTACATAAAAGTTAGTATTCTCAGAACTCACGTCTGAGACTATAAACCCACTCACATCAATGCTGAGTCATTCTCTCATTAAGTGGTGGTGAATGGTATACCAATGTGATTTCCAAAAGGCTTTCATTATGTTTCAGATTTCCAATGTATCTGTGGACTGTCTTCTGTACCTTTCTGTAATATTTTATAAGCAGATGACCTACCTAGACACACATAACATTTTACAGTTTCCTTTGAAGCAGCTGTCTCTTGCTAGAGATTTTTTTCTATAGTAGATATAGTGGTATCTGACTTCAAAATAAATAAACTTAGCAAGAATGGAAAACTTTGCCCTGCAAAATTAAACTGCTTGGATTCCTTTGAAAATTATCCCCATGCCCATGAGGAAAGAATAGCATAATTCAGCATCTCACCAAAGATTATTTAAATTTTTGCTCTTATCAAAGAATATTCTTAAAAGGATTTCAACATAAGATGGTGAAGAGGTAAGGTACATATGCTTTATTGCTTTTTTTTTTACAAAATATAAAAGATTTGTATGTCTTAATCAAGAAAAATTTAGTCAAGGCAATGTATCAACAATCTTGCTGTTACATTCCAAAATGTTTTAGAATGGTACTCTAGCGCCTTCAAAAATACAATACAAATAGAACATTTGTTCAACAGCAAGCCCAAATAGTTTGAAATGTTTAAAACATTTAATATAAAAATATTTAAATGTTTTAAAAAATAAGAACATTATAGACAAGAGTATTAAATTATAGACTTGAAATCCAAGATTCTTAACTTATGATAGAGCAGCAAACAGAAAACAGAAAATGGAAACAAGTTCTATAACCATAATCCAGTATTCCCAGGAATTGTACATATATTCTTGTAGGAGATACCAAATCCATGAGGTCCCATTCACACAAGCCTTCCTGTCCTCAACCGAGGAGATACACAGGTGCACCTTGTGATTGCATAATTAAAGGCTAGATAATCAATGGTACTGGTTCTTGGAAAATGCAATTTAATGTCAGAATGAACTCTTTCCCTTTAAAAGAATATTTTGATTCAGACTAAAGTCTGGCCACAAATTATTTCCACATTTATAAAAATTGAACATTATGTAAAATATTTTTCTTAGCAAATATTGTTGAAAGAAATTAAAGAAGATCTAAATAAATGTGAAGACATCTCATATTCATGGATTGGGAGACTTAACATTGTTAAGATGGCAATACTACCCAAAGCGATCCATAGATTCAATGAAGTTCTTATCAAAATTCCAACTGCCTCTTTTATAAAACTGTACAAGTTGATCTTAAAATTTATTTGGAATTGCAAAGAACCTCATATAGTCAAAAAAAATAAAGTTGGAGAACTCACACTTCCTGGTTTCCAAACTTATGACAAAGACATGGTAATCAAAACAGTGTTGTATTGGCATTAGAATAGACACATAGATCAATAAAATAGGATTTATTGTCCAGAAATAAACTCATATTTCAATGGTAAATTGATTTTCAACAAGGGATCCAAGACCAACAAAGAAAAAATAGTTTTTTCAACAAATGGTGCTGAGAAAACTAGATATTCATATGAAAAAGAAAGAATTTGGACTCTTACCTCACACCATATAAAAAAACTAGCTCAAAATAGATTTTAAAAAGCATTTAAATTTAAGAGCTAAGCCTATAAAATTCTTAGAATAAAACAGAGGGACAAATATACAGAACTTGAATCTGGCAATAGAATGACACCAAAAGCATAGGCAACAAAAGAAAATATAAATTAGACCACATCAAAATTGAAAAACTTTTGTGCATCAAATAACACTATAAAGAAAGTGAAAAGAGAATCCACAGAATGAGAGGAAATATTTGTAAATCATATATCTTATAAGGGTCTAGTACCCAAAATATATAAAGAACTCTTACAACTCAACAACAACAATGAAAATATTACAATTATAGGGGCAAAGAATTTAAATAGACATTTCTACAAAGAAGGTATACCAGTGGCCAATTAACACATAAAAATATATTCAATATCATTAGTCATTATGGAAATGCAAATCAAAATCACAATGAAATACTTTACTTCACACCTACTAGGATGTCTATACTAAAATAAAATTTTAAAAAGGAAAATAACAAGTGGTGGCAAGGATGTGGGGAAATTGGAACTGTCACACATTGCTGTGAAGGAACGTAAAATGGTTTAGCCACTGTGGAAGACAATGTGGAAGTTTCTCAAAAAGTTAAACATGAAATTAACATGTGACCCCAAAATTCCATTTCTAGGTATACACTCAAGAGAATTGAAAACAGGTATTCAAAGAAAGAGTTGTACACAAATGTTCATAGTGGCATTATTCATAATAGCCAAAAGGTGGAACCAGCCCAAATGTCCATTAATGGATGAACGTATAAACAAAAAGTGGTAAATCCTTACAATGGAATATTATTCAGTCATAAAAAGCAGTGAAACACTGATACATGCTACAACAAGGACTTCCATGACATACCTTAAGGCAAAGGACATGCCTCCCACTTAGACTTCCTCTTCTATTTGCTGAATGATAGGGAAAAGCAATGGTGAGTACTAGAATTGCACCATCTTAGACTACAAGATGAAATTCATAGGTTGAAGGTGGCAGAGGAACTAGAAAGAAGAAGCCAGGGTTCTCACACTGGCTTTGTTAATCTAACCATTTAACCTTAGATTGTGACAGGGGAGAGAAATAAAACTCCATTTTGTTTTAGCAGATATTAGATCTTTGATATAGCAGCTGAGCCTTTAATCTAACTAACATAGCAACCCCTAGTTTGCTTATCCATTTGCTTCTAGCAAGGTCATCCAAAGAGGTTTATATAACAGAATGATTCAGAGTGACTTGGAGAAACCAATCACTGTACTGTCCTGAATAACTGGAGTGACTAGAAATGGGATAGGCAGTCATTCTTTGCTAACATCCAATAATAAAAAAAATGAAGTGAGTGCCAAAGGAACAATTCAATGTAAAATCAATAAGTCATGCTGTCTTTTATGTTATCCAAACTCCTACTATGTGCAAAACTCTGTGGTAAGCCCAGGGAGGGATACAATGATGAATTGTATACATAAATAAAATACACACTAAATGAAATATAGGCTAGATTAAGCCTCTTAGAAGACACAAAGAAAGAACAATATCAAAATGATGAAGCCCCAGACCCTCTTTCCCCCATGAAGATACCAATTCAACAATAAATAGACCAATCCCTTTGTGAGAAATACACAAAACAGTTAAGATGATTCTGTACCCAAGGTGAGTGCAAAACCAGACACATTGAAGCCCAGAGGAAAATTTATGACACTCACTGGCTAGAGCCCCTCTCTCCAACATAATGCCACATAATCAGGAGGAAACTCTCAATTCCCAGCTTCTCCTTTTCCTTCCCTGAATGTGTGTCTAACATTCAGACACTTCAGGGGGTTACCTGAGGAACTGGTTCTAGTTTTGACTGGATTTAAGCACTGACAAGAAAGGGGGCCAGGTTGGGAGCTGCTGAAACAAAGGCAATGGTTTCAACTACCATGTACTCACTAGCCATTGTTTCTTCCCCCACGTTCAGCATGGAGCTAGCAGGAGTAATCTTCAGTTCTCTAGTTCTCATGGAAAGAGAAAAAGTTGGAACATGTGTTCAATGTTCCAGCTTTTCAGGGGCTGCCAGAGGAACTGCTTTCTCTCTTGCCTGACTCAGAGTTTTGATGGAATCCAGAGTACTCTAGATGGGGGTCACTGAAAACAAGAAAGAGCTGGGTGACTTGTTGCTACTCCAAGAACTTGTGGTAGAGCAAACAGGGGCCAATGCAACTTGGTGGCTACCAATTTGGGGCACCAGGGAAGAGAAGAGTAGAGCATGCATCCAATATTATAGCTTTTCTGGAGTCTGCCCAAGGGAATGCTTTCTGTCTCACCTGATTTGGAGCACTGAAGTATCTTAGCATATTCTAGATGCCCGGGGGCCACTGAGAAC